AAAAATAAAAAAAAAAAAAAAAATTCCTGTCATAAAATTTAAAAAAAAAAAAAAAGCATTCCTGTCCTCATGAAGGTTGTTACAGGGTTTTTTTTGTTTTTGTTTTTGAGAGAAAGTCTCTTGTAGCTTAGTCTGACCTAAAACTCCCTATGTAGTTGAGGATAACCTTGAACTTCTCTGATCCTTCTGTATCTACCTCCCAAGTACTAGGATCACAGGTATGCACCACTATACATGGCTTGTTATTGTTGTTTTGTAATTAATTTAATTCCAGGTCTTAGGAGGCAGAGGCAGGTGGATCTCTGAGTTCTAGGTTAATCTGATCTACATAGCCAGTTACAGGCCAGCCAGGGCTACATAGTAAAGACCGACTCTGTCTCAAAAAAAAGAAAAAGATTTATTTGTTTTATATTTTTTTGTGTATGTTTGTGCCAGTGTGAGTTTATGTGCACCATGTGCTTACTGGGGCTTTTCCTTTGTCTTTTGAGATAAAACCTCCAACTTGTATGTGATGACCCTTCTGCCTCTGCCTCTTGAGTGCTGGGATTACAGATGTTATGCCACCACACTTAGCTTCCTAAGAATGTTTTTGATAAATATTTATTCCATGCCCTATCCCCTGTGTACCCTTTCTCTTTGAACTCATATGCTGTGAGCGATCATTATCATTCAAATTAAATATAATTTAATTTTTTTATTTTTTATTTTATGTGTATGTATATATTGCTTGCATGTAGGTAAGTGTACCCATGTTGTGCAATGCCTGAGGAGGACAAAAGAGGCTGTTGGATCCTCTGTAACTGGAGTTATAGTTGTTAGCTGCCATGTGGGTGCTGGGATTCAAACCTGGGTCTTTTGCAAGAATAGCCGATGTTCTTAACTGCTGAGCCATCTCTCCAGCCCCTAATTTAATTTTTTAAAGATTTATTTTTATTTATGTGTCTGTGTGAGTGAATGCAACCTGTGTGCAGGTGCCCATAGAGGCCAGAAGAGGGCACTGGATCCTCTGGAGCTAGAGTTAACAGGCAGTTATCAGCTGCCTGATGTAAGTGCTGGGAACTGAACTCAGGTCCTCTGGAAGAGCAACAAAAGCTCTTAACCCTGAGCCATCTTTCCAGGACCCATCATTCATACTGTAGATAAGAAAAGTGACTCTGAGAGAGAAATGACTTGCCCATCATTAGATACCTGAGTGAGAGGAGGAGACAGGATTGGAACCCAGTTCTGGTCAGACCCTGAGTTCTTTACAGCTGTACTGGGGAGCTGGGGAGGCTCACTTATTCTTCTAACTTTTAAGCCTAGGCTGTGACTCTTCTCTATCTCCTGGCCTTTGGAACTAGACACCTGACTGTCTGCATCTGGGGATACTGGGAATGTCACCTCCCAGGGCTCTGCCAACCTCCTAGAGTCCCAGAGAGCTGTGCTGAGAAGGTTGATACAGAAATCCAAGAAAAGGAGAAGAGAGTAGAATAAGAGGAGGGATGGGGGAGTCCCTGGGTATTCGTCCCCTCCCCACAATCTCTGTCCTGTATATTGAGAGGGACCAGAACCCCCATGTCTTTTGTACCCATACACTGCAGAGGCTGATGACTTGGTTTTTGTTCCTAGATTGGATGGGAGACAGAATTAATGAGATGACTTCTTGGGCTTCCCTACTGCAGGGCTCCAGGCCCGGATGCAAATTTTCAATCAGCAGCATAAGAACATGCTATGTGGCGCCGGGAGCCAAAGGCTGTACATCCTTTTCCCATTGGACTGTGGGGTGCTTGATGACCTGAGTGTGGCAGACCCCAACATTCGCTTCCTGAATATTCTGCCCCAGGAAAGCATAGACCGTGCTGGCATCAAGGGTCGGATTTACTCCAACAGTGTCTATGAACTTCTGGAGAATGGGCAGCCAGTGAGTGCACAGAACAAGGTTAAGGAAGGGTCAGGCCCCCCACCAACCTTGGGTCCTAGCCACACACTGGTAAAAACTCACAACTCAGCTGGGCGTGGTGGCACATGCCTGTAGCACACTTGGGAGGCAGAGGCAGGCGGATCTCTGTGAATTCAAGGCCAGCCTGGTCTACATAGTGAGTTCCAGGACAGCTGGGGCTACAGGGAGACTCCGCTTCAAAAAGACAAAAAATGAAAACAAACAAACAAAAACCTTACAACCCTTCCCTGAGCCTTGTTGCCCAGTTGGTCTATCTTGCCTAGGGCAAGAAAAGATCCGTTTCTGAATGACACTGAGAAATAACATTTATGAAACACTACATACCAGAAACTATTCTATATGTACCATATGACCACCTCATTGAATCTTACCACACTCTTAGAGTTAGGGACTGTTTTGATTCCTGCTTCTACAAAAGAGAAAAATGAGTCTCAGAGACATACTGAGAAAGGCTGTAATAGATATGAAGGATTTGGAGTGGGTATGGGGAAACCTAGAGCAACACCAGATTCCACCCCAGACTCAATTTCCAGCCAGATCCGTTGGTGATCTGGTGTTCCTTGACTTGCTCCTGGATCATGGGAGGAGGATCTGTGAAGCGTGATTAGCCCAACTCAACCCTGATTCCAGAAAGGAGGTGTCAGAGGCAAAGGCAGGCCAGATAGCAGAGACCCCATCTGGAAGATCATCTCTCAGGACTGTCTCTTTGCAGACTGAAGCCTTAGCCCATGACACTGGGATCTGCAATTGGTCTGCCAGGGCTCCGGCTCAGCTAATCTTGTTCTCACCTCCTCCAGGCAGGCACCTGCATCCTGGAGTATGCTACACCCTTGAAGACTTTGTTTGCCATGTCACAGGATGGCAGAGCTGGCTTTAGTCGGGAGGATCGACTTGAGCAGGCCAAACTCTTCTGCCGGACACTTGAGGACATCTTGGCTGATGTCCCCGAGGTCCAGAACAACTTCCGCCTCATCGTCTACCAGGGTGAGAGACTAGTAGGGCTGGAGGTCAGGAGTCAGGAGTCCTGGTGTCTCTGAGAGGGTCAGGAAACATGGAAAGCCCATTTCCTGGGCTTTCTCAAGTGGTCAGAGTGGTCAACCGCTTGCCTGCTCCTACCCGAAGAGAGGTCTTTCTGCCACTCTAAAATACGACTCTGAAGTCTTTGGCTGAAGTAGAGCCTGAAGAGGGGGTGTCTAGGAGCCCTCCATCTAGAGATGCCACCAGAAGCAGAAAGGTCCTGGGTACCAGCCTTGAACCTGTTATTCCTTGGCTGTGTGGTCTTGAGAAGTTCTCTGCCCCTGTCTGAGTATCATCTCTACAAGCAAGAGGGTGGGTTTTCATGACCTCTGTAACCACTTGTAACTCTGGTATTCCTTAAGAGCAGCTTCAGAGGCTGTGCAGTAGGTGGGAAGAAAGGGGAAGGAGGGCTAGAGGATCTTGTTAGCAATTCCTAGGGGTGTGTTCTGGTGGGAGTGTATAGGGTCCTCACCCCACTCCATTCTATGTCCCTGTTCCAGAATCCACAGAGGGAAGCAACTTCTCACTGTCTCAAGAGATTCTCCGACACATGCGACAGGAGGAAAGGGAGGAGGTTACTATGAGCATCCCCCAGAACTCAGTGGCGCCCAATTCCTCCGAACTGTCAGAAGAGCCCAAACTCCTCATCAGTGATATGGAACAGCCTCTCCCGCTCCGAAGTGATCTCATCTGAGGGGCAGGGCCGCCTTGCCTGAGTCTCCAGTGGTCCCTAAGCCTCTTGACTGGGAGCTTTCCTCGGTGACTAGGGGCCTCATAGAGACTTCTCATCTATAGATGAGTCCCATATCCCTGGGCAAGCCATTTATTTCATCTCTGAGTTTCAGTCTACTCTGTGAAATTGGATCATAATGACTGCCCTGCCTGCCTCATAGGGCTGTTGTGAGGACTATGCATAGGTGGAAGTTTGGTGTAAATTGCTAGATAAACTTAAAAGATGTTCCAGGCATTCTCTGCTCTGATGTTAACCTGTCTGGATGCCATCAGCAGACTCTCTGATCCTCTGGCTTCTGGTCATGTGTGTTCAACAGGTACTCCAGTAGATGAATGGAGAGGGGGGAAATGTGAGGCAGGGGCATGTGCTCCCCTTAGCTCACTTCCTGCAGTACTGAGTAGGCTGTTCTACCAGGCTGCCCTCTCAGTAAACTTGTCCATCTCTAGGTTTCTGGAAGGGCCTCTTCCCCTTTTCCCTAGCGCTAGTATTGGTTTAACACAAGAGTACTTACTCTCTTGTGGTTTCCTTATATCCTGTCCTTAGTCTGTAGGGTTTTTTTTTTTTTGGTCTTTTTGAAGCAGGGTCTCTCTGTAGCCCCAGCTGTCCTGGAACTCACTATGTAGACCAGGCTGGCCTTGAACTCACAGAGATCTGCCTGCCTCTGCCTCCCGAATGCTGGGACTACAGGCATGCACCACTACGCCTGGCTTTTGTAGTTATTTTTAAAAATACTCCTCATATTACCCAGTTTGAGTGTGTCATCTTTTTGCTGCTAGGCTGTGATAGATATGAGACATTAGAACACATCATCCTTGTCATCCAAGTCTGCCTGCACATGCACTCTTTCCTGGCACCCCTCCTCACCCTATTACAGAACAATTGGGGATGGGTGCCATTTCAATCTGTAGAGCTTCACACTGAAAGCACAGAGTCAGGTGGTGTCCCACACCTCACCTGCCCTTTCCATGCCCTTGTGTCTAGTGGGAAGCTGGGGAGCAGGGGCCAGGGCTAGGTGAAGCCAGGACATAGATGCCATGAAGGGTACACAGCTGTGTCCTGGGCAAGGGGCCACTCAAAGGAGCAGAGATCATTGAATGGATGCCCCCAGATTGAGAGAGCTTGTAAAGGATCAGGGACGAGGAGTTTGTGTGAGGAGATGGGAACATATCCTGAGAGCATGGAACAACACTGCCAGTCACCACACTCTATGTCATTGTTGTCAGGACTAAGCCACTATAACAACACTATGGTGGTAGAGTCATCCCCATCTGGGAGGGTAGATGGTCCTTTCTACCAGCTCCACGCAGGCTGGACTTATTTGCTTGCTGTGATGGTTTGAATGAAAATGTCCCCCATAGGCTCCAAGTGTTAGGACATTTTGTCCCCAGATGATGGCGCTGTTTTGGGAGGTTTTAGAAGGTATGGCTATCCTGGAGGAAGCATGTCACTGGGGGTGGGCTTAGAGAGTTCTTAAGCCTTGCCAGATCCTCCAGTTGCTCTCTTGCTTCCTGTGCCTCCATGATGATGTGAGAGCTTACCGCCTGCTGTTCCTGTTCCAGCCACCTCCAGCCACCATGCCTCCCTGCCATGATGGACTATAATTCCCTTGGAACTGTAAGCTCAAATAAACTCATCCTTCTATAAATTGCTTGGGTCAGTGTTTCTATCACAGCAACAGAAAAGTGACTAATACAGTAATTGGTACCAGAGAGAGGGTTGTTGACTGTGAAGAACCTGACCATGTGGGGTTTTGGAGAAATGTGGAAGACTTTGGAAGTTTGGGCTAGAAAAGTAGTTGATTGCTGTAAGCAGAGCTTAACAGGCCATTCTAGTAAATGCCTAGAAGAAAGTAGTGCTGAGAGCAATGTAGTTCCAGAGGGGAATAAAGACTTAAGCAGCACTTGGGATATTTTGGCAGAGTCTGGTTGGAGTCTGCCCTTGACCTAAAAGCTTGCTGAGGCTAAGTTGAAAAGCAATGGACTAATTTCTCTGGTAGAAGAAATTTCAAGACAGCCTAATGTAGAAATGGTGGTGTGGCTATTAATGGTGACTATTATGCAGAGCTACAGTGAAAGAGAGCAAATGGGGCAGAAAGAAATACAGTTTGGATTGAAAAAGAGCACTAGGAAGATAAATGTTGGTGCCCTGGCATATGATGGAGAGGATCCCATTGATAAGGAGATTAAAGTGATTAAAGAGGGTGCTAGAGATTCGAACTTAAACAATGGAGAGAGTGCCTCCAGGGCAAGACCACACCCAGTTAAGCCTCCAACTTGTGAAATGAAAATGCTGCAGAGACCACTGAAGAGAAAAGCTTCTAAAAATGGACAAAGCAGGCTGGAGTCCATCCCAAACTTATAGTCAAACTTGGCATTGTCTTTCACCTGGTACTTGCTTTAGAGGAATGAAAGATGCAAGAGTGAAGGGGTCATCAGTTCTTCCTCTGCAGTTTCAGAGGGCTGCTGAGGCCAGGCAGCGTGCAGCAGGGGTTCCCCTACCTAGAGAAGGCCCTGATAGGCCATTACGTGAAGCTGTGAAGGTGAAACCTGGTTGGTAATGGAGACCCCAAGAAGTTCATGATGCCAGAGCTGTGAGTCATCTACCAAGAAGACCTACATACAGAAAGTGGTACTAGCCCAAGAGAGAGATGTGTGTTGCACACAGCAAAGCTAGAGAGGCTGGGCCATCTAAGTCCTTTGGAAGTAAAGTCCCAGAAGTTGGACATGGAGTGACTGGATTTGGTGTTCGCCCTGCTGGTTTTCAGTCTTGTTTTGGTCTGGTATTTCATTACTATGCTCCTTTCCTCCCTTTTGGAATGGTAATGTGTATTTGGTTACATTGTATGTTGGGAATATGTGATCTGTCTTTTGATTTTATAGAGGCTTACAGTTAAGATGTTTACCTAAGTCTCAGAAGAGACTTTGGACCATGGACTTTTAAACAGTATTGAGACTGATAATGACTATGGGGACTTTTAAAGTTGAACTAAATGCATTTTGCATTTTATAAGGTCATGAACCTATGGGGGCCAGGGGGTGGAATGTGATGGTTTGAATGAAAATGTTCCCCATAGGCTCTAAGTATTTGGACATTTTGTCCCCAGATGATGCCGTTGTTTTGGGAGGTTTTAGAAGGTATGGCTATCCTGGAGGAAGCACATCACTGGGGGTGGGCTTAGAGAGTTCTTAAGCCTTGCCAGATCTCCAGTTGCTCTCTTGCTTCCTGTGCCTGCATGATGATGTGAGAGCTTAGCTTCTGCTGCTCCTGCTTTAGCCATCTCCAGCCACCATGCCTCCCTACCATGACAGACTGTAATTCCTTTGGAACTGTAAGCTCAAATAAACTCTTCCTTCTAAATTGCTTGGGTCAGTGTTTCTATCACAGCAACAGAAAAGTGACTAATACACTTGCTCTACCTTAGTTTTCATCACAATTGCTCAGTATGCCAATATGTATTTCCTTTTCTTTCCTTCTTTTGTTTGGGGTGTGTGTGTATGTGTGTGTGTTTCTTCCAGTACTGGGGATCAATGCTTGGCAAGCATTCTACTGCTGAGCTACATCTTCAGCCCTTAAAATGTTTCTGAATGCAATGTCACTGTGGAGAAATGCCACACACACACACCCACACCCCCCCCACACACACACACATCAGAGAGAGTCAGCTGCCCTGAGGATGGCAGAACCAAGGAAATCAAGTTGATGGGGGCAGAGTGCCGCGAACCAAGACTCCGACCAGCAGAGCCGAGGAAAGGACAACACGGATGCCAAGGTAAGGTTCAAGCAATTCTCTCCCTTTTATTCTTCATCATCCCACAATATATACCCTTATCAGATCCATCCCACAATCAGACCGTCACACAGAGCCAATCAGGACATGAGCACGGGGCTAACATGCAGGCAGAGCAGCAAATCATTGGGCCACGCAATAGAATCATGCTCGGTGACGTATCATGTCAGGCAGGCTGCACGTGATCAAGCTTACAGCGCTTGCACGAGTTGGAGCAAACAAATGAGGTTCACGAGGCTTGGCAGACAGCCAGGGTGCCATCTTGGCCAGCTCGACCACGCCCGCTTCCCACACTAACCCTAACCCTAAACCTAACTCTCACGCCAAACTAATTTTAACCCTAAGCCTTACCGCTACCCGAACCCGAAACCGAACCCTAACCCAAAAGGAACCCGAACCCCTACGCCATTCCCATTCCCATACCCTCCCCTAGCCCCATCTCAGCCCCAGCCCAACCCCGAACCCTAATTAGAACTCAAACACGAACCCAAACTTGTACCCGAACACAAGCCCTAACCCTAAACCTAAACTTAGCCCTAGCCCTAGCCTTAGCCCTAGCCATAACCATAACCCTAAACCTAAACTCTCAGCCTAACCCAATCCTGAACCCTAAACCTAACCTCTAAACCTAACCCGAACCAAAACCCAAACACGAACCCGAACCCTAACCCTAATCCTAAACCTAGCCCTAGCACTACCTCTTAATCCTAACCGTAACCCTAACCCAACCCTAACCTCTAAACCTAACCATAAACCGAACCAGAACCCGAACCCTAACTCTAACCCTAACCCTAACCCTAACACTAAGACTAACCCGAAACCTAACCCTAACACTAATCTGTACCTGAACACGAACCCGAACCCTAACCCCAACCCAAATCAAAACGTGAACACGAATACGAACATGAACCCCAACCCCAACCACAACCCCAAGCGCAGCCCCAGTCCCAGGCCCATACTGAACTTGAACACAAAACCAAACCCTAACCCTAACCCTAGCCATATCACTTTCCCTAGCCCTAACACTAGTCCTAGCCCTAGCCCTAACCCTAACCTTAACCATAACCATAACCCTAACCCCTAACCCCTAACCCTAATGTTAAACCTAACCCTAACCCTATCCCTAGCGCTAGCACTAGCCCTAAACCTAACCATAGCCCTTGCCCTATCCTAACCCTAACCCTAACCCGAATCGAACCAGAAACTTAACATGAACCTGAACCTCAAC